TGTGTGTGTGTGTGTGTGTGTGTGGAGGGGTGTGGGCGGGCGCGTTTGCGGAACCTGAGCCGCCGACGTCGCCCGCGTCCAGCCATGGCTCATGTGTGGGGGAGAGCAGGCGGGCGGACGCGCCGGCGGGGACAACGTTGAAAACGGCGACTTTGTTGCTGAGCGGGGGAAGCGGGCGCAGAGGGGAGTTGGAGGGAGCGAGTGAAGGGGGAAGAGGTCATTTGCGATGAGAAAAGCGCAGAGGTGTTTATAGTAGCGGGGAAGGGGGGTGGGGTGGCGGTCACGGGGACGACGGGGTCTGAGACCCTGCGCTTGTGCGGTTGGGGGTGGGGCCGCGGGCGGGTAGGCGTGTCTGCAGACTCGTGAGAGATGCGTTTGTCCTGTTCCAGACGGAACAGCAGCAGCGGGAGGGGCGAGGGGTAGGCTCCTTTAGCACACAGGCAGCTACGCCCGGCCACACCCCTTCGTCTCACCACCGCTCTGCACCTCGCGTACACAGCACACAGCAGTGCGCCCCGCCCCCTCCCCCACCCCGTTTCACCCTCTCTCTTTCTCCCTCCCACTCCCTCCGGTTTGCCTCCCTGTCCCGTCCCCTTTTCTCTGTACTTTGCATGACTTGACATGCAAATATTGTTTTCCATAAAACGGCCCCGAAAAGAGGAGAAGTCGCGGGCGGGAAAGTGGATGGCCGTTTGAATAGGGTCGGAGGAGCGACGTAGGCCTCTGGCCCCGCGCAACAGGGCAGCGCGATGCGCCGCGACTTTAGCTGAGGGCGGATTTGGTTATTTTTAATTGTCCTTCCCCAACTTTGACAGGCAGGACAAGGATATCTGCTTCTGGCTAACGCTCCTACCACTCTTTTCCCACCATACTCTTCTTTCCTCCATCGTCCACCCCCTGTCCACTCTGAAAAAAGCTTGTAAAGGGAAATTTCTCCACGATATGTGTTGTAAATGACAATCTAAAATTGTGAAATAAGCATTATGTGGCAACTTAAAATTCATTGACGAGCTAGAGTAGGTTTTCGTAGATTTAAAAAATATTTTGAAAGTGGAAACTATGTAGTAAATTTACGAAGATATCTTTCAGTGTCTCCTCGCTCTCCAAAGGCTGTTATGGGTAAGCGACGCAACCCCTGCACGGTGAAGGCGCGCCGTGTGCGTAAGGAGAAAGAAAATGTTGCCAAAAATGGAAACAGCCTGGGGGGTTGACATTCAAGTGTATCACGGCGAGGTCGGCGCGGCGCAGCCTTGGGGCGTGGCGCGGCGTAGCGCGGCGGGCTGGTGTAAGGGCTTATACGCCGCGGAGCGGACCCATATGTCACCCTGATGAGGCTGCGCGACCCCCTCCCCCTCCCTCCCTCGCCCTCCCTCTCTCTCTCGCCCCCCCCCCACACACACACTCTCTCGCCCATCGCAGGTCTAGTGCTGCACCGTAACGACGGCCCGTCTTTCTAGAAGACGTTGGTCGGTTAAGCACAGGAGGGGCGGGGAGAGAGAGAGACAGAGAGAGAGAGAGAGAGAGAGAGAGAGAGAGAGAGAGAGAGAGAGAGAGAGAGAGAGACGGTACTGTGGGGAGAGGGGCGTAGAGGGGTAATTGGTACTTGGTACGCCAGAGCGAACCGTTGGGGGAAAATGGTGGGGGTGACGCGACGTGCAGCGAAACCGCCTCCAGAGTTACATGGGACACCTGTTTTCGAAAGCTGAAACACCTCTTGTGTGCTGAAGGTGCATTTCACTCTGCACAGTTAAAGTCAGTGCCACTCCTGTTTGAGTCTCGACTTTTACTACCTGATAAACAACGCAATGGTTAAAAAAGAAAATAGTCTGAATAGATGTTCTGTTTGAAGTCACCTGCTTCTTCGGAAACAGGTACAGTACGTAAATGATTTAATAATCCATGTACGAAACCGTCATAAGATTTCAAAGTCAGGTGCTAAAACCTCTCATTTTCCAGTGCTCTTCCCCCGCTCGGCCCCACGCCTGCAATAACTCCACGGGCCCCCTTTGTCTGCTCCCTTTGTGTGGAGTGCATAACACACAACGATGCACCACCCCGTCGTGTCAGCCATCAAACAAGCCCGACCTGCCGCGGGCTACTCACCCAGGGACGGACGGCCCGACCGACCAACGGGCGGACGGGCGAAGCGCGAAGCGGAAAAGAGAATGAGGAGCAGATTTCGCAGCATTTGATGATACCCACCCCCTTTCCCCCCTGACCCTGAGGACAGTTGCGTGGAGCTATGGGCGGCCATCGCGGCAAGGTGTGCGTGCGTGTGTGCCCGCATGTGCCGGAAAGGGGTTGGTTGTTCTGGATATTATAAATCGCCCTCAGTCGCCAGTGCAGCTCACGGCGGCGATGGTCGTCGTCATCAGCGTCGTCAACAAGATGGAGCCACTCACCGTCCTCGCCCTCCCTCTCCATCCCCGCGCCTGTAATCGATTGACTCCGCACCGCACCAGCTGAATACTCCAGCTCCCCCCCTCTCTCTTTCTCTAATTTTTCTCTTTTTTTGTGTGTTCCTCTTCATCTCCCCTTCTCTCTCTCCCCTTCTCTCTCTCCCCCTCCTCCCTCACTGCTACTCCCTTACTGCTGAATTGTATCTACATTAACCAGAAAACGACGCAGCTGCTGTGTGAGGGAGAAGGGGGTGCAAGAGCGAGCGAGAGACTAGAGCGAGTAGAGCGGGGCTGTGGAACGAGGAGACGCACACT